AGCAGGAAGAAAAGGCCATGGAAATGAGCACTTTCCTCACCCACGTCTTCCAGGAACCCAAGCCCGGGGTGGTGAGTGGCTTCCATGTGGCTCAGGCCCTGGCCATCCAGGCCTGGGGTCTGGGACTCTGGTGCGGAGCCCAGGCTCACCTGTAGGTGATCCCTGCTTTGACTGTGGGTCCACCTGGGCTCCTCCAGACTTGAAAGAGAGTGTCTTTGCTCCTTGCTGCTTCTCCAGCTCCCCTAGAAAATAGAGAAGCTCGTGAACAGGGAGAAACATTAACCTCAACCACACAGAAGCGATGAAGAAACGAAGAGACAGAGAGAGCGGGAAGAGAACGAATTCCTAACCCATGCTACAAAACATGGGCCTCAGAGCCTGACACCCCACCTCACGGCAAGCCAAATACCCTCTAGGGCCTTGGTTTCTTCATCTGTATAAGGGGATGACGATACCTGCCTGAATGTCAGGCAGTGGAAGAGATTAAAAAGAGGAAGATGGGCTGTGTGGGTCAAATCCTGGCTCTGATAATTCCTAGCTGTGTAGCTTTAGGCAAGTTACTTAACTTCTCCACGCCTCACTCGAGGGACAGCAGTGCCCACTTCAGAGTGTCATTAAGAGGATTACACGAGGAAATACATTAAGGCACTTAGAATAAGGCCTGGTTTGTGGCAAGTACTCAATAAATATTAGCTTTTATTACATTGTGTAAGAAGCACTTGGTGCAGCAGACCTTAGCGATGGCTGGTGACATCTAGCCTGCCCGCAGCGCTGCACTGCCACAGGGCGATCAGAGCTCCCCCCAGAAAGAGATCCCACGTGCCGGAGGGTCCCGGTGCTGCACAGCCCGCGTGGCCAGGGCATCTGTCTTGGCACTCAACTTGAATTTCTCTCACTAGACTATAAACCTGTTCCTTTTTGTTGTGTCTCAGTGCTGCTAGAAAACTGCCAGTTACCATCCTTGGAGATTTGACAGTCATTATTAAATCACTCCTTCAGTGTCTCTTTTCCAGGAGACATAACTCAAGTTCCTTTATTAAAGCTACTCTCCTGGGCCCCATTTTCTGCCTCTCTGGTTGTCTATAACCCAGGGACACCAGACTGCAAACCCCCAAACTAAAACAATTTATCCTGAATGCCTGAATCACACCATCAATCAATATGAAGTATTTGTACTGAAATAAGAGTTGTCCCTCTCCCCACAGAGGGACTTTCTTGGTTCTAGAGGAACCAGCATCATAATTACGAACAAGGCGTCCCAGAAACCTGGGTGCAAATCTTGTTTTGTCACTGACTGGGTAAACCTGGACAACCTCCTTAAGCTCTGTTAGACTCAGTTTCCTTATCTGTAAAATGGGGATAATGCTACTCACCTGATGGAAAGTTGTGGCAAGAATTAAATAACACAATAGGTTCAGCATTCAGCCTGGGGCTCATAATCAGTGCTCAATAAATGGTAGCTGTTGCTGATTTGTATTTTCTCCTTTCGTCCCTGCCTCCCTGACCAACCTTGCATCTTTCCTCAGCTGCTCCTTCCCTTTCTCTCCATCTGAATAATAAGAGCCAGACTTGAGCCTCTCTCCCTGCTCCCCTACACTCTAGGCCAGGGATCCCCAAGCCTTAGGCCACAGTCCTGTACTGGTCCATGGCCTGTTAGGAACCAGGCCACACAGCAAGCGAAGCTTCATCTGTATCTGCAGCCATCCCCAGCACTAGCATCAGTGCCTCAGCTCCACCTCAGATCATGAGGCATTAGATTCTCATAGGAGCACCAGTCCCTGGTGCCAAAAAGGTTGGAGACCACTGCTCTAGACAGCAAGAGAGGATATTCACCTCTTGACATACAGATTCTGGCAATATCTACTCCTTTGTACTTTGGGGAGAGATACGATGTGCTACTCCCAAGCTGATGGAGGAAAAGGCGTCTCTTCCAGCAATGCTGGTGCCCATTGGCCCACTATGGCTCCCTTGGGCTGTGTGGAGCCACATGTGACATTTTGAAAATGAGAGAACTGAAGCTATTTCAGAGTGTGTCCTTGAGAATGTTCAAGATCAATAGCCAAGGTGGCATCTCTGAGCATCCAGCCCGGCCCTTGAAAAGAGTCTGTCTGTTATACTGCTGAACTCAAGTATGTCTATTGAGTGCAGAAAGGGAATTTACATGCCCCCTTTACCCAGTTACCTGTTATACAGTCTGTTCTAGTGGGTTTTGTTTTAACCTGATTTAGTTGTTTCCTTAGGAAACTATCAACGAAAGCTCTTCCCTCACTCTCAGAGTGGAAACCACATGAATCTTGAAATCAGACTTAAATGCAAATTCTGGCTCCTCTTCTTCTGTTATGCATGACCTTGGACATACCCCTTAACTTCTCTGAGTCTTATCTGTCAAATGGGGACAATGCACCTACTTTGCAGCATCACTATGAGAATTAGCGGAGTATAAACAAACTGCCTAGTGCAGAGTAGGTGACCCAAAACGCTCCTTAAAAAGCACCACTGTCATACTGGCTCAAAAACTCCCACTGCCTTTCCTGTTGCCTAATGGATTTACATGAATTTAGAAATATGTTTTAAACTAAGTGGCCATATAAGGCAGGCCTGAAGTCTACTTTTATTTTCTGTTTTGCTTTCTGAATCCATTCTTATTTAATTGGCTAACTGAAGCATTGAAGTGCTTAAGCAGTAGAAGCTTGCAAATGGGCAAAGGTTGTAGGTCATCACTGCTCTTAAACTGAAAAGCAACCGATAAGCCACCCAGATATATTAAGAGACCCATGTATTTTCTAAAATGCCTGAATTGGAACAATCAAGAATCAAGGCATTCCTTAGAGGAACAGAAAGGCCACTCTAACATGAGGGATAGTCAGAAATCCAGCCCGGGCTCTTCAGAAAAAAAAGTTATGAAAAATAAAGTACAGGGGGCTACTATTCAAAATTAAAAGACATGAAAGAAATGAGGCAACCAGATGTCGTATGTGAACTTGGACTGGATCCAGGAGAAGAGGACGTACAAGGCAGTTTGGTGGGAGAGAAGTGCTTGGGCCTGGACCTGCTTGGTCTGCATGCCTGCCTTGATTGGTTTGCTCAGTTGTCTTAGTCAAACACAGTGGAGGTCTCTGTTCCAAGGTGCTCACAGGCAGTGCCATGGCTTGTCTAGGTATGCATACATGTGTGCATGCTCTGGTCTACGTCACTTTGAGAAGAAACATAATGAGCAGTGTACCCACACAGGACAATGATGGTGCAGTGGGCTGGGGGCAGGGGAGGGCTTGGGATGGCAGAGGGTCCTTGGCTCACCCCACACTCACTCCAAAGTGGGAGAAAGAGTCAGAGTTGTGACTGTCTATAAGCTAACTGGGAGCTGGTCTACCCTCCCGTCCAACCACCTCAGAAAGGCTGAGAAACACCATGTCTTACACTCTATCCGGATCTGCTCCAGCTCTGTCACCTCCGCAATGGACTCCTTCAGGTCCTCCACAAACTTCTGCATCTCGTCTAAGCCCAGGGCACAGAAATGCAGCACCTGCTTCTTCTCGGAGCCCGAGAGCGGGGTCACCAGGGTGATGCCATGTGAGTAATCTGGAAACCAGATCCAGGCCCCGCAGGCCATGAGCAGCAGCAGGTGAGGCTGGAGCCAGCCAAGCATAGTTGCCCCTTCCCTATAGCCCTCAACTTCCCCCAACCACCCTCCGCCACATCTCTAAGTCCCACTGAGACTTACATTCATTCTCAAAAAGGTGAAACTGCATTCCCAGCAGGCCAACCGACTTGCAGAAGGTGTATGTGCAGGAGCTCTTCTTCTTTGGGCAAAGTTTGAGAATCTGTCCAAGAGAGGGAGAGAGATGCACTGGTGGGCGATCACATGGTTGTGCACACCTGGTTGCGTGAACTTCCAGGGGCAAATGTGAACATGCAACAAACACACAGATACACTCATGCACACTTACATATTTAGGATATGTTCACACACATACATATACATGTATATGCACGCACGTATGTATTCACTGTATCAAACTGTTTTTTTGTTTGTTTAACTGCATAAAACCCTCCAGTAGCTACTCCCATTGCACTTAGAAGAAGCAAAGCCACACTTCCTGCCCCACCTGATCTCGTCCCTGGCTTACTCTGGCTTATGCTCAAGGCACGCTGTCCTCTTTCCCACAGCTTGAACAGAGCAGACTCAGTCCACTGCAGGCCCTTTGCACATGCTATTCCCTTTCCACAACTCTCACTACAGCTTTTTGCGTGACTGGATTACTCTCATTACTCAGATCTTGACTCAGATGCTAATTCCTTCCTTGACCATCCTATCTAAAAAACAAACAAAAACAAAATAAATAAAAAAGTCAACCTTAACACCAGTCACTCTCTATGCTATCATTCTGTTTTATTGTCTTCATAGCACCTTCTTCTCAATTTGATATTATCTTGTTTTCTCTCTCTTTTTTTTTTTTTAATCTCCCTCCTCTACTAAAATGAAGGCTCCATCAGCCAGTTGCTCAACACACAAATATTTCTTCAGCACCTTCTGTGAGCTGAACTCTGAGGATACAGGAGAATGGGAGACAGAGAGGGTCCTGCCCTCAGGGTGCTTATGCTATAGTGGAAGAAGACCATCGGGGTAGATAAGGCATAATAAACAAACAAACAAAACAAAGTGAAGAAATGGGTAAATAAGGTAATTTCCATAACTGAGAAGTGTTTTGAAGAAAATGATGTAGGGTAAGGATTAGACAGTGATCTCTTCATTAGGATCTCAATTCAAACATCATCTCCTCACACGGGCCCTCCCTGTCCACCTCAGGGACTACTGCCTCCCTGTCCACCTCAGGGAGGGCCCGTGTGAGGAGATGATGTTTGAATTGAGATCCTAATGAAGAGAGGGAGGCAGTAGGGCAAAAGTGGGTAGGGGGTGAGGAGGAGCCCATGGGAGGCAGCTTGGGGGGCAGGGTGCCAGAGCAGCCAAGGAGAGGAGTGAGGGAATGACGTCAGAGGTCCTGGAGGTCCCTAAGCAGGGAGGCAGGACTTCCTTCTCCTGCCCAGGAAGCCTGGATAGGGTCATTGTGGCAGACAGGCCTGATCTGCACTCTGAAAGGATCACTCCTGGCTCTGTGGAAGATGTTCCTTGGTGTGGGATCATTAGATTTGGGATAATTTTAGAGGTTGTGCCAATACGACTCATGGATAGAAAGGATGTGGGATATGAAGAAAAGACAGAAACCAAATCCTGTTCACCACTGTTTCCCGGCACTTAGAATAATGGCTGGTACACAGCAGATACTCATTAAACATTTGTGGAATGGATGCCTATTTTCAAAGAGCAAAGAATGAGTCTCACACAGATGTTCGTGCATGCACATGCACACACACACACACACACACACACACACACACACGTACCCCTCCCAAGCATCGCCCCCAGGTCCAGGGACCCCTACCCCCACCCCCAGCTGAGGAGCATGAGGCACATCTCTGTACCCTCCATATCCCAGGTTTCCTATAATATGGGAGAGGAAGGGGATCTGGTATCTAGTTCATTTCCACTGTGACTGTGGAACCATGAACAGATAATTTAACCTCTCTATGCTTCAGTTTTGTAACTTTAAAGTAGGAATGACCCCATCTGCCTGAGCTACCTCACACCCCATGATGTGAAAGTACCATGAAAAAGGTAAATCAGCCGCTAAGTATACAGCATTTGGTGCGAAATCTGGGCAGGCCCCTCCCTACCTTTACCCCTTTTCAGGGTCCCTGCAGGGTCTGAGCAGGGCAGCGAGCACCTCAGCCGACCCATCCACTCACCACCAGCAGGTCGTTGAAGAGAAACACCTCCCTCTGATGTGCAGCCTGCTTCTGCAGCTTGTTCACGTCTGTCACCTCAAAGAGCCGGCTGCAGCAGACTAGGCGGCGATGGGGCACTGACAGCACCTGGAATGAGACCCGCGTTCAGAAGGAGATGCCCCAGAGCTCACGGCCCTCCCTACCCCAAGCACCCATTTCCCAGAAGAGCAGATGGAGGCCCGAGACTCCTAAACCTCCTCTTTCCTCACTGGGGCTCTCTCCCCTTCATCACGCTTCTTAGGGAGCAAGGCTTGGGGAGAAGGGCTCATTATGCTGGAGTAAATGAGGAGATAAAAGCATGTGGAAAGACGGCTGGCAGCACTTTCAGACCGTTCACATCCGGTGGCTGTCAACCTATTTCCCTCAAAGACCTTGTGGAGGGAACTCCACATCCCAAGCTGCGGCCTACAAGATAGCACCCCACCCCTTTCTCTGCTACACACCTAAACACAAGTGTGCAAGAGGGAGAGGATAACAGGGACACCTTGAACCTGCTCCAGGTTGTAAAACAATCTAGTTCCAGTGGTATCTGTAAAACAGACAAATGCTAAAACCTCAGCAATACAGGCTGCGGGCAGAAAAGGGCCACTCTGCACAGACTCGACAGAGGGGCCATTGCACAGCCTCAGATGACGTCCCCAAACTGCCCCTAAGTCAGCAACTCAGGGAGGAGGAACTGGAGATGGATCCCAGAACCCTCTCCACATCCTTTATATTTATGGTATAAAAAGCCTTTGCTGACATATAAGTAGAGTAGTAAACTATAGAGAACGCTCATCTTAAAAATCATTGCAAACTTGGAACTTAGTGCCTGTGAGACAGGTCACAACTAAGAGGTATCCCAATGGTTTAAGACATCATAGTCTAGAGCCTGCTTCAGCCTACTTCCTGTCTTCTGTTCATTTTTTTGAATGCCCAGTATTCATCTCATCCTAAACCTTCCTATCTGGCCATCCAGATGCTTCAACCCTAGAGCACTGGGCAGTGTTTCCCAACATCTCACCTTAGTCTCTCCTGCTGTAGTAGCTAGGAGCAAGAGGCAATGAGGAATTTCAGCAAGGGAAAAAAGAGGGTGCGCTGCACGACACAACGTAGGGACTTGTTAACTCTTAAGTGGATAATAGAAAGGTGTTTTTGAAAGGCTTGGAGGAGAATAGGAAAGCCCATCAGTCAGGAAGAAAGAAATAAAAAGAGATAGGAGATGGTGGGGGCTTAGCAGCCACAAGAGAGGAATTGACCCCCACAGGGTTAGTCCTGTTCTGTAGTGTGCACTTACTGTCTTCATGCCCACGATGGATTTCTCCACCTTGGTGACATACGTGACATGGTCCTCATTGGACTTGAGCTCCTTCTGCTGTATCCTTTCGTAGATGCCGACCACAAGCTCCCTGGGGATGTCAGCGCCATCATCCACACCTAGAGTGCAGAAAGGGAGGTGGGGGAGGTGGAGGGGAGAGGTGTCAGAGGCCTGGAGCCAGAGAGGGGAAGCCCCTTACCAGACCGATGCTCCTAAAGAGTGGCTTTGATTTTGCCCTGTCTCTATTCCAAAGCCTTCAATGGCTGGTCCCCATAGCCACTAAATTAAGAACAAACTCCTTAGCCAGGCACCAGAATGACTATAACATGGCCCTGACACATATTTCCAGCTTCGTCTTCTGCTGTTCCATAACCAGAGCCTCTACTCCCACCTCCCAGGCCTCTTTTCTCAGCTCTGAATACAGCCTCCATGTTGCTGCTATGCGCCTTTGCTGCTGCAGTTCTCTTGCCCTCTGTGTATTTGTCTCACCTCTCCCAATCCCTGCTATTAGAGCATCTTGAAGTCCAATGTTCTGTCTTGTTCTCTTTCGAATATCCCCCGTCTCGCCCCTCCCCACTTCCACTAGGGAACATGGTACTCAGTGATTACTTATTGAACAGGTGACAAGATTTTCCCTTCACTGGGAGTGTGGTGGGAGTTAGATGTTCAGCGGAGTGTTGTCCCCTGTGGCAATGTGGGTAGGGAGACTCTCTACCCATCTCCTACTTCTTAGTAATAATAAAACTCTGGTAACAAAAATTACTAGCAGAAAATACACCAACATGAAAACAAATTTCTTTGGAAGCAGAAGCATAGGTAATAAAAATGTCTACTTTTTCTAAATCTTTCTTTAATAACTATATGCTTCTTTGATAAGAGGGGAAATTTGAGAATAAGGCACCTTTGGCAAGCATCCTCAAAGGAACTTCCTAATGACTGAGAGGACATTCACATTCTATGAGTAACTCTTTGTACTGACCCTGTTTCTTTCACATCTGTACTTGGTTCTTACAGGTAGGCAAATGAGCCGTGCAGCACCCCTGTGGGCGTGAAAGAAGTCAGGCTGAAGACAAGAAAAAGCAGGGATCAAGACTGAATACATAGAGATTCCCAGTTAAAGACAGCAAGCTCCACACTTGCTTTTTCCGAATATCCTGATAAAAAGGAATTTTTAAGAGGGGCTATACCCACAAAGACAAAGAGAACAGGGGAAGAGGCCTGGAAAATGGATCAATGAGTGGATGGGTTAGCAAACTGAGAAAGTGGACACTGAAGCCAATAGAGAGGTTAGAAGCCACTCGACCCACTACAGAGCCACAAAAGGGCTCTGGAATTAGTGGCAACAGGACCCCTCAAAATGAATGAGAAATGTGGACTGGAAATAGGGAAATAGGTCGAAAATCAGTCTAGAAAGCATTTAGATTTCCCTATCCCTTCCTCTACTCCAGCAGAACAGTAGGGGTTAATCCTCTGGAAGGGATGAACCAGGAACTCTGGGCTGGGGGACCCCAAATCCAGGTAGAGGTAGGAATCTATGCTGAAAACTAGGGGATGGAGCTGATGTCTATGTATTAAGAGACCTCTCAACTCTGTTTAACCACAAAGATCTCAGAATGTCGGCAGCCAAACTCATACCCTCTAGGGAACAGATTGGACATTTCTCTTCTAGGGAATCAACCGGCACAAGAGAAAACATCTAAAGATACTGCAGTAGGGGTCCCCCAGTGAAATAGCTCAACTAAACCACCCTATGAGAAAGCCTACCAGTCAGTAAGCCCCATCCATACTCACAAAGTTTTTAATCAGCCATTTAGTGGACAATTTTCATCATGTAAAAGTCTATAAAATGAAAGAGAAAAAGGTATGGGGAAAATGAAAAAAAGGAAGCCACAGAAATAGAGGCAAACAGGAAAAAACTGAAATAAACAAACAAATAAAAACATATTAATATCGTCAGGGATACAAAATAAGACATTGCATCTACAAAGCAAGAATAAAATGCTGTAAAAGAAGAACATTTAGAGAACAAAAGAATTACTGAAAATGAAAAAAATGACAACAGAAATGAAAAACTTAGTAGGAGACTTGAAAGATAAAGCCGAGGGACATTGTCAAGAATGTCATCAAGAAAACAAAGATGACAGAAAACTTTAAAAATCAGAGGATCAAACTAGGAGATCTAACATCTGAATAACTGGAGTTTCAGAAAGAGAGTACAGAGAAAATGGAGAGGGGAAATGAACAGGCAAAATATTTAGAAAACTTCCCACAATTGGAGGACTTATGTTTCTAGACTGAAGGACCAACCCGGTGCCTAGTACGCCAGAAGAAAAAAGAATCATAACAAGGCACATCATCATGAAAATTCAGAACACAAAGGACAAAGAGAAGAAACTATAAATTTTCAGAGAGAGCAAAATAATAGTAAAAGGTCAGGAATTGCAATGACAGAGCATTCTTTAGCATCGACAGCTAAAAGACAATGGAGCAATGACTTCAAAATTCTGATTTCAGTGTTTCCAATATGAAATCTTATTCCCCAACTGCCAATCAAGAGTGAAGATAGAAAAGAATATATTCAGACACACGAGTTCTCAAAACGTTTGCCTCCAGTGTACCTTTTTTTCTGGAAAAAGGAAGTGTACTTTTTCTCTCTCAAAGAGAAGACTATGAAATGCAGGAATCTAACACAGGAGCAAGGAGATCCCTAGACGATGTTGGAGGGAGATACCAGGGTGACAGCCGTGCAGCTGTCCAGATCAGAGCAGAACTGGAGTCTGTGGGAGAGACAGCTCCAAGAAGATGAAACTCATGGTATGCCTCCCGGGGTTCAATGTGTTGAGAGGAACTTGGCACTTAGGGTAGAGGGGTTGGAGATGAATTAATGGCAGCAAATGGACCAAGAACACAAATATTCGCTCCGAGGAAAATAGAAATAGAAAGGATTTATAATCACTATGCACTTCAAGACTCAGCTTTGGATTTTGTTTACCTCGTCTTAATTACATAAACACTGATGTTACAAAAATGATGCTACAACTATACTGTAAGCATGGGGCTGCAATGTGACTTTAGTGGAGATGGATTGGGGAAGGTGGATTACATAGGTGTATATAAACCTAAACATTCATCGAGTTCTCAGATTTATCCACCTTACAGCATGTATTTTTATACCAATAAAAAGGAATAGGAAAAAGAAGCAGAGGCATGTTATTTAGTGGTATAGAGGAAATACAATAAAGAGCAAAAAAAGTTGAAAGTGGTCGGAAGGAGAATAATGAGAGGGGCAGGGACTAATTTTTTGTGGTAAGACTTGTAGAATTATTTGATTTTATTAAATTATGTTCATGTATAACTTTTATTTTTTAAATGCTAATAAAGAAAAAAAATCAGTTGACACACATCACACCCTGCCAGTTTCCTTTGATCCCTGTCAGGTGTTGTACTATATCAAGGACTTGGCTGGTAGACGCCAAAAGTTATCTGCAAGGCTGACTTAAGCGGACCCAAGACCTAAAAGCCCTCATAAGCTGTGAAGTGGGAAGGGCTGGTAGCACCTGGGCAGCAGCTGTGGTGCCAGGGGCCTAGAAGCCAACCAGTGGAGGACATTCCAAGGAGGGCAAGGGGCCCTTGCTGCTTGGTGCAGGGCAGTGGCAGTGGCTCTTGGAAACTCCCCAAATGCCTGGCATGCAAGCAACTTTCCCAGGCTGCTACTGTGACCAGGCCCAGAGAGCAGTGTCTAGTGCCCTTGGACTCTGGGGTGACAATCTATAATTTGGTTCAGACTCACAGAACCCAGAATTAACACTGAACAGAACGGGCCCAAGCAGTGGCCTCGCCCCTCCTGCCCCAACTCCTCACCTCGCAGGTTTCGAATGAAGTCCTCCAGCATCATCTTCCGGTCAGGCTTAATGTTGGGGCTATACATATCGGTGTTGAGGAGGATGATGGCGAAGGCCAGGATGAAGATGGTGTCAGGGTTGTGGAACTGCTGCACCACCTCGGGGTTGCACATGCAGTAGCGCTGGCTGTGTGGGGGACACAGAGCAGAAGCTGATGCCTCTCCCCCACCCTCTCCAGTTCCAGCAATGGGATGCTGCTTGTGGGAGGTGGTATACTAGCTCTCTGAAGGCTTTAGGTCTCGGGAGGTTGCCCCCAACACCTGTTGATCTGCCCCGCAGCCTGGTCCTCTTCTCCAAAGAGGAAACAGGGCAGGTGTCACACACCCATAGATCTCCTATGGCACCAGCCTTACACAGATGCTCAATAAAGATTTGCTCATTGATAGGGATGAATGAGATGCATGCAGTCCACCTGAGGACCCAGTGCTACTTCAGCTTGGAGAGCTCGAGGAGCTCTTTTTCTTTTCCTTCCCTCCTCTCTATGCAGCCCACTCCTCTGGCCTCAGCAGAAGGGCTTCTCCCAGCCCCTGGAGGACCCTCCAGCATCCCCCAGGCCCACAGCAGCTCTGCTTCCCTATCCAAGCTTCCCCATGCCCTAAGTATGTGTTTCAGGGCATTTGAAGGGAGGAGGCTGCAGGAGGGGGTCCTACCTGAAGGCCTCTATGAGCCGCTCCACCTTCTGGGCTTCCCCCTGAACACGGATGTGAGCCTGGAACTTACGCAGGGCCTCATCCAGCTCCGAGCTAGAGAAGTCCATCTCGTCCACCACGCAGCTGAGGGCAGGTGGGAGGAGGGGCATGAGGGAAGGTCGGCTCCCAAACTTCCTCCAACTCACTGGAGCTGAGGAGTAGGTGGCAGCCCACTGCTGGCTGGGTTGGGGAAGGGAGGGACTTTTGATCCCTGGGGCCAATTAGGGAACCGGCTCCTGCCTCCCAGGCCTTACTCACCCACCAGAGGTCTCCCTTCAATAACCTAAGAGACCCTTTCTCACAGCTCCCTTCTAACACAAAGACCTGTGAGGCAGATGGCTGACTGTGGTCTCTAGATCACAGCTAAGAACCTGAGGCCCAGAGAGGCTTGCTGGTTGCTCAGAGCCGCAGAGCTAAGAGCAGGCCGAACCTCCAAAGCCCAAGTTCTTTCTTCTCAACCTCGGAGCATCACAGAGTCAAACAAAGGTTTAAGATGTGCATAAATACAATGTGCTCTTCTATCCTTTCAAAGACCTGTTAGGAGCCTGCACGTCTCCCTAGCTTCTCTGTCCTGGTCCCGTTTTGGTTTCTAGGCGTTGGAATCTCCTCTACCGCCCTCCCAGTTCTTTCGCAGCCAAAGAGCCCCAGCTCTCAAGGGAATCTGTGGCTATTGAGAGAAAATAACTAATCTGCTTAACATGGGAGAGGGCAGTGTGGAAAACACTACCAAATTCTGGGCCTGGGTTAACCACTGAATTTTTCATGACTTTGGGTCACAGACTCACCTCTTAGAGCCTCAGTTTCTTCTTCTGAGAAGGGAGGAGGTCAGAATCCTGCTCCCTAAGGGCACTTACACCTCTGAAATGCCACCTCTAACCCTGGAGGGTTTGCCTTTGAATGTCTCCCTTCAGTGTTTGGGGAGAGGAGAAGGTGGAGGAATATGTCAGTCACAAATACTAGGCAGTCTCATCCTTCTGGCTTGGCCTGCTCCTGGGGGCCCACCCTTCCATAGGATCTGGGGCCGGGACCCTTCCAGCCCCCACCTCATCCTGCCTTACCCTCCTTTGGGGTGCCTGTTCCCAGAGGTGTGAGCAGTAAAGCAGGAATCTAGGCCCAGCAAAGCTGCAAACCTAATTCTTACTGAGACTCGCAAAAGCTCACGTGCCAACAAGGCTCTCCTTCCTCCCCTTTTTGCACCCACGCTTTAGTCCCATCTCCCCTCTCTTGTTCATTTTATACCCAGCCTCTACTGCCTCTGGGGATGAGCAGCCCCCTCTCTGCTCCCACGACCCCTGAAGACTCTGACACAGCGTCATGACCACAGGCATCAGTGGCCTGTTCACTGCCTGCCTGCCAGCCCACAGAGGGCCCGGCACACTGAGGGACTCGGGAAACATGGGGCCCCTGAGTAGGCCCCACTTCTGCCATCATTCCAGCTCCTGTGCTCAGCCCGCTGCCTGTGCAGAGATCCCGACTCAACCCCAGCTCTGTTGTCAATTTTTAGGAGAATGCAAGAGAAGACACCCATATTGTGGTGGTCATGGGCCTGGTGGTCCATGGGCCCTGCCTCCCCTACTCCTTTCAGGTGAACCAAGTGAGGAGAGCATCACCGGGGACTCCTAGAGAGGGAAGGGCTGGTAGGGGCTCTCCTCCCCCCATACCCCGAAGGGCAGGGACAATGGCCATCTTTAGGCTGGGAGCCTATCCTCGGCCTGGTCAAACCCAGCCATCTCTTAGGTTTATCCATCTGGATAGTGAGTGAGTGACAGCCTGGGGCTGGGAGGGAGAGGCAAGAATCTAGCCCGAACAGGAGAACTGGCAATGTCAGTGTCTGAACATCTGAGGTGGACAGCTGGGTAGTAGGGGCCTGTAGGTTTAGCTGGATTTCTTGGCAGTTCTTGCCACCTCCTCCCCAAGCCCCTCCCTAGTAGAATGTGAGCTCTGAGATCAGCATCATGGGGCCCACATCTGCGTGTCCCCTTAGCCTAGCCCAGTCAGGAGTTATGAATCCAGCACGACTGAGCCATGCGAAGATGCTATCTGTCCAGAGGAGGTGAACCAGTGTGGTCTGCTTGAGCCAGTGAGACAGGAGAGGGAGGGAGGGAGGAGACAGAGACCCAGAGACAGTGAGAGACACGGAGGACACAGAGAGTCAAGTGAGAGAGAAAGAAGGAAAGAGACAAAGAAAATGAAAGAGAAGAAGAGAGACAGACCAACGAAAAGGGGCTGGGGGAGAGAGAGAAACAGAAAAGAGAAGACAACGGGGCGATGAGGGGCGAGAGCACCAAGACCCGGACCAGGTGGGCCTGGATGCGGAATCAGGTGGAGTCTGGGGAGCCACATTGCAGCTTCTCACCCCAGAGACCCCCAATCTGAGTCTTGCAAGGCCAAGGGCACGGGCAATGAATCCCAGCCTGGGCAACCCTGACCAAGAGGCATGCCTCCCTGGTGGACCCCAGAATGGCCCCTGATTCCCCTGCTCTGGCGTCCAGCTGCTGCCCATGACTTGCCCCTATTAGTCTACCTACTCCCTACTTGGCGCCTGCCCTCTCCCTTCAGGCCCCTGAACCCTGAGGTCTTGGACCCTGCACCCCTCATCAGTATCCCTCTGTGCATGTACCCGCTGCCACAGTGCTCTGGACCAGGCTTCATTCCACAATGATGGGGGTGGTGCCTGAATGCCCGGGTGCTGTGGGCAGGTGACAGAAGGAGGCGGTGGAGCAACTGGGAGAGGGTGGGATCTGCTCGACCAAGCATGATGGCCTAGTTTCCAGCCCTTCACTCAGGTGACACGCAGCCTGCTCACGCTCACGCTCGGGGCTGCGGCTAAAAGCTCCCGTAATGAGCCCAGAGCCTGCGAGTCAAGGACTGGGACGGGAGATGCAGCCAGGTGGAAACGCCATCCCGCAGAAGGGGGAGAGCTGAATAAATCAACACGGCTGTGAGGATGGGGAGGACTTTTAGGGCTGTGGGCAGTAGGGCAGGAGAGTCTCTACATCTCATATCTTCGAGGACCCCAGAGAAGAGCCGTAAGGAGGCTTGTTAAAATGTAGAACCCTGAACCCCACCCCAGACCTACCAACTAGAATTTCTAGACTCACATTTTAAAAGCCTCTACTTGGGCCAGATCCATCTCCTACCCTCGCACTAAGCTCAGCCATTTATTTTCAATTTTACGAATAGCCTGGAGAGCTTGTGGAGAATGCTGACTCCCAGGCACACAGAGCCTGCAACAAGGGACCAAACCCCTGATTTCCTACCTTCCTCTTTTTTGGTTGCCCTCCCTTCTGTCCTCTTTTCCTCCTTCCCTCCTTCCCTCCCTTCCTTCCTCCCTTCCTTCCTTCCTTCCTTACTTCCTTCCTTCCTTCCTTCCTCTTTCATGGGATAACATAATCTGATCTATTTTTGAAAAGCTAGCTAACTGGTGACAGTGTGAAGGATGAGCTGGAGTAGGCCAAACAGACCAAGAAGGAGGCTGGCACATTAATCAT